CTTTTTCCTTTTCCCTTTTCTCTTCCCGTGCACCCTCTCTCTCTCTCTCTTCTTCTTTGTCGTTCTTCACACTCTCTCTCATTCTCTCTCATTCTCTCTCGTTCTCTCACTCACACTCTCTCTCTCATTTTTGTCTCAAACCAACCGGATTTCAAACCAAAGAATGATTTCAAGAAGTTTTCAACGCCAAGAGAAGGATTCGAGATAAGATTTCTGAAAAACCTCTCTTGAATCTCAAGTTTTTCAGATTTAAAAACTTATTTTTGGTTCGAAATAGATTTTGATTGATTTTGAGTAAAATCATGGTAGAAATTGGAGATCTTGGGTTCTTTGGACTTGATTCAGTACCTAGAACCCAGATCTAGTGGGTTTCCTTTGAGATATCTCGATTTGGACTCAGATTTGCAGGTTTTTGGGTTGATTCCGCGAGTTTTTCTCACCCTGCCGTTCTTCACAGGTCGACCTGTACGGTCGACCGGACTGCATTGGGTATACCGGTCGACCGCATATTGCACACCACCGGTCGACCGGTGGTGTTGCACTGTGCTGTCACCGGTCGACTGGTGTACACTGGGTTTGACCCTGTTTTGACATCGGTTTTAGAGGAGAGCCCAAATTAGCTTCATTTGGGGACCTAGAGTGAATGGATTAGCTTCTTTAATCCATGTTTTGAGATTGAAAACCCTTGGAATGATGATTTGAAACATGAAATAGTTTGTGAAATCGGTAATTGAATTATGGCATACTAATAAGAAATCAAATGGTATAATTGAGATTGAAATTGCCTTAGGGATGTGAATTAGATCCTAAAGTGTTGTTTTGTATCAGTGCTAGTTGATGACTCGGATTGAGGGGCTTTAAGGAAGCGAAAGCCGGAATAGTGCAACGCTAGCCAGGTTTGATATTTACGAGGTATGATTCCTTACCCCTTTCTTTGTGAGCCTATTTTCAAAGACTTTTGTCCTTGCAAATGTTTTAAAGAAATGGCATGTTTGTGAAAGAAAAGCATGTTTAAAAATAATAGCTTGATTTTAGCTATTGGAATTATAATGAACTGTTTCATAAAGTTTAATGAATGATTTCTTAAGACAAGAGATCTTGTGAATCGGTAAACCGACTGATGGCCTAGATAGGATGTGGAGAGTGCATCCTTGGGGGCAAAACCCAAAACCCTGCTCTGACTAGCGCCAGCACATGGTAACCACTCCGAGCGCGACACATGGCGTTTTATTCCTTTCCTCCAACCGTGCTTCGACACTTGTCCCCTTTGGTGCTGAATCTGAATTTCTTCTCCAAAAATCATAGTAAATTACCGGATTTCTTCCTCAAATCATATATTTAATTTCTCCTAATTTATGTGTAATCTTATTTTATTTCCTTTTCTTTTGTAATTTTCTATTTTTATTATTTGTTTTCTTATTTGACAGGCAACCTCTGAACACTATAAATAGAGGGGTTAGCCTAAGGTTTTCGGAAGTTTTGAATATTCAGTTTTCTGTCGTCTTGCTATCAGTCTCATATTTTCTTTCTAGAACTTGTGAGAATGTTTTGCAAGCTAGGCTAGAGTTTTCTTGGTGAGGTTAGAGATGAACTTTTGTGAGTGACCCAATTCGAATTTTTGATTCCTTGTGTTGTAAAGTTCAACATCCGAATGAATTAAATTTCATCTATCTTTCATTTATTTTTTAAAATATTGTGTGCCAATTTTTATATAAGTTCAGTCACATTTTTCTTATGTAATTCTGTCACGCATTGTTTTGTTATTCAAATTATTTTGTAAATTGTCTTTTACTGCAATATTGTCAAATTGATATATTGTCGATTTTGGATAACTTGTAATGATAATATTTCCGGAGTCAACATAGAGATTTAATTTATTCCTTTCTTTTATTTTGTAAATCAAAACTTGAATTGGTTAACGAAACATTATGGATTCTCGACACCTTACCGTTTTTGTTATTAAATTTCTTTCACACAAATCTTCTCTACTTTTTATTTGCAACAAAAATCTCAAAAACTCTTTGTTTTCTTTAATTCACTTGTTATTTATTTTTCTCTAACGCTCTTATTCTGTTAATCTTTCTTATTATTTTGTTATCTCTCTGTGAATACGACCGCCCTTCTGTGCTACAATCGACCGCTTGTGAACATCACTTTTGGACGTTAATCAGCGAGCCTGGGTCGGGCCGAACAAGGGCTGAATCCGGGCTTGGGCCGGGCCGTGGGCCTTCACGAGCTAGGGCTGGGCTTGGGCAGTGGGTTGAGAAGCCGCGGCCCAGCCCTAGCCCATCAATCGTGCGGGGCTGGCATGACCCATAATAGTACCGTACCGAGCCTTGCCGAATCCAGCATTGTTACGGGCTGGGCCGACAGCCCGGCCCATTTGACAACTCTAATTGTCCCGCCCTCCTGACTTATTTTTCTGGTTCTATCCTTGATTAAAATATTTCACTTTTTTAAACCAATTAACACTTTCATTGCATTATCGATGAGAATCAAAATTCAAAAGATAAAAAGAAAAAAAAAAAATATATATATATATATATATATTTGTGGTGAGGCAGCTTATTATAAGGTCCCATACGGTTTTGACTGCGGCCATACATTTTAATTAGTGCATATTGTATACAGTTGAATAGTAGCAATATCGTTACATCCGTTTCATAAACACCATCCTATTTAAATCATACGATTGAGTTCGATAGTCTTACATTGAGATACTTCCAATGTATAACTCAAAATAATAATAATAATAATAATAAAAAGGAGTTCTGTTTTCTACTACGAAATGTGTACCTCCTCTTGAATTTGATCTCCAACATCAAATAAAGACCATGGACCCATTGCTTTCCCATCAAAAGTAATGTCCTAAGTGAGAAAAGCTATTCGTGGTGTTGGATTCATGACCCCCTAAATAAGTTATTGTGAGCAAATCAAACACATTGTTGAATTTTCCACACAAACATGCTCATGTTAGACCCTATAGTGGTTAAGTTCCTGATTGACATATATAGCTTGCTGGGCTTGGAAATTAGGGGGGAAAAGAACGTTATTCCACTGAATACAACATATTCCTTTGCTTTCTTTTGTTGAGTGAAGTATAGAATTTCTACACGACCACGTTTTTCTTGGCAAATTTTGTATAGTTTAGTTAGGCCAGGCCACACTAGTAGTGCACCTAGACATACACAAGCTAAACTTCAACGATGCATTTGGAAATAAAGTAAAAAGAAAAAAGAAAAAAGAAAAGAGAAAAGAGAGAGAGAGAGAGAGAGAGAGCCCCAAAAAAAGAAAAACCAATTATTTAGCCCAAGGATGTGTAATGGAAGTCAGAATCCAAGAAGGAAGTGACTAATTCTACTAAGAAAACACATTGAAGAGTCTAGTACTACAATGATGAAGAAGAGTCACATATAATCAAGGCACTTGAGCGAGAGAGTTGTAATTTATGGAATTGGTTGTATACCATTATTATACCAACTCAGAAATTTTACTTTGTTTTTCAGAAAGCTTCAATTACAGCTTTTGTTTTTTAAAATTTTTTTTTTCTCTCTCTCTCTCTCTCTTTCTGAGGACATGCTGATTGAACCTCACTTCCCCAAATGCAGGCATGGTGTCTTCTTTTAGGAGAACATTGGGCATCTCTAGCTCAAAAGAGGAATTGTGCAAAGGGTGGATAAAAATGCACAAGAAAAATCTAGAGAGATTTTGGGAAATCAGATTCCATTTTAAGTGGGGAGTACGAAAATATCCATCTGCACAATAATAAGATTGGAATATGAGCTGAGGATGGAGATGCAGTTTGGACATAGCAGCAAAGAGATTTTTTTTCCGAGAGTAGCTTTTTTCTTTCTTTCCATTATTTTTTTAGCATTGTCCGGGGTTTAGTCTGTCGTACATGATTGGTATGTACGTACACTTTTTGTAGAAATACCCTTTGATGTGGTAGAGAGATGCGCAATGGTAATATGTTCTGTAACAAGTCTCTAGTACTTTTGCTCAAACATAAATGGGAACAATGATTTCCTCCCCTGCTTAACAGTAGCTTGGAATGGAAAGGAATATGCCTCGTACTTTCATCAACTAATCTCTAGGCAGTTAAAGTCACATAAGCTGAGCCATATTCGAGAAGTTGATGAGAGTTAAAATTCACCCTCACAATTAATTGATCCTTGAATGCTAGGTGGAAAAGTCATGATAGATCGTCCTTCATTACTATGCTGTCACCGGTGGTCTAGTCTCTATTACTGTGCTGCGGGCAGGTTAGACTCCAAGCCTTCTTTTGTAGAGTTCTTTTGGCATCTGTTCTAGTCATCATGAAACAAATAGAGTAAAACTAACTCATATTGTCACTAGAGTAAAACTAACTCATTTAGTTACATCAGGGTGAACCCAAAACAAAAGGCATTTTTTTTCCTACCACGTCTTCACAATCCATTGATTGTGTTTGTATCATTGCCGATATAAGGTCAATAAGAACGATAAGCATGCATTACTCCATCTATTACTAGTGGCTATATTCCAATTTATATATATAAAGATGCGGCCATATCCCATAGATGAAATGACGTGTAGATGAAATTTGATAATACGAACATTATAAAACATTATGGATGAGAAAATAATGACCGTATTTAGAATTGATTCTGTTTTTATTTTTTACATTTTTCAAGAAAGAAAAAATGAAAACATTTCTAAAACGGTATTTAACGCTATAAAGACAAAAAACGAAAATGAAAACGAATTTTTAGTTTGGTGTAAAATGAGAGAAATAAAAAAATAATTTTTAATCATTTTTCATTTTTTATTTTCGTTTTCTCCTCTCGAGAGCAGAGAGAGACATTAATAGGTTTTTTTATACTGAAAACAATCTCTTGATAAAAAACTACCAAATGCATTTTCAAAAATGATTTCTGTCTGAAATTGAAAACGTTTTCATTTTCATTTTCATACAAAAAATAATCATTTTAGAACGAGTTCCAAACGCACCAGATAAGATAGCTATCCTGCATAATCCAGTTCTATGGGAAATTAACTGCTGCATAACAGCAATTCCACAAAATGTTTTCAAGAGAGTTCACTAAAATGGCAAAATTTAAAAGTTAATATTGTCCACAATTCCTTCAACTCAACCTACACAACAAAGAAAAAATACTAATGAAGGCAGCCTTCAGATAATACCACCCTATATAGGGGAAGAGCATCCTCGTTCCAGAATTTATGCGCAAGAGCATAAGAGATTTCACTCAGCCTGTATTCCTCATCCCGGCGGCAATCCCATTAATGGTGATCAGAAGTGCGTCTCTGAGTTTATGATTATCATTATCACTTCTCAACCTCTTCAGTATCTCAACCTGCAACATGTTAATAGGGTTAAGATATGGAAGCCTGCTCTCAATCAGCCTCCTCAAGCTCCGATTATTTTCGGACAGTTTCTCATGCCCACAAACCGCCAACACATACTTCTCTGTGACCATGAGCTCCTTCCTTAGATCAGAACCGAGCTCGCGCCGGCTTTCTGACACGAGCACTTCATCATAGTGCTTGGCTATAGGAATGTCAGCCTTCCCTAAAACCATCTCTATAAGATCCATGGTACATTGAAAGAAAGGCCATTCTTTGTATATTGCTTTTAAATCCTCAGTGTGTCCCTTCTCACAAACACCTTTTAATCCGGCACCAACTCCAAGCCAAGCAGGAAGAACAAATCTTGTTTGGGTCCATGCAAACACCCATGGTATGGCACGAAGATGACCAATTTCTATCGAGTTCTTTCTTCGTGCAGGGCGACTTCCGATGTTAAGGAACCCAAGCTCAGCCTGTGGTGTAGCCTCATGGAAGTACCCAAGAAATTCTGGGTTCTCATAAACTATGCTTCGATAATTTTGGCAACTGATTTTTGAGATCTCCTCCATGAGATTACGCCATTTCTCTTCTCGTGGTGGCAATGGAGGACGCAGGGCTGCAAGCAGCACAGCTGTTGTGTATATTTCTAGCTGCCTAACAGCTGTTTGTGGCAGCCCAAATTTGGCCTGTACCATCTCTCCTTGTTCAGTTGAACGCAGGGTACCCTGCCCATTGTACATTACAAGTTACAGGTAACGAAGCAGGTTCTTATCTCCTTCGAAATTGAAAATTTACTAAAGTTTAATGCACAAAAGGTGGAACATGCAATATGCACTAAACAATCCACGCTAGACAAATAAAGGTGTAGTAAGATATAATTCAAAGAAATCACAACTTCAAAAGACAAAATTGTGAACCCCGTTTGTTTCGCTCATTTGAATTGAGAACTTAAGTTAAAAAGTGAATTCACGTTAGAGAAAACACTGTAGCAGAAAAAGTTGAATTTGAATTTTTCTGATTGAAAACAGTATAGTAAAAACTTTGAGTTGTGATTTGAATGGTGAAAAGAACGAAGCAACAGGAGAGGGGGAAAGAAAGCTACAGGATAAGGAGAAACAGGAGAATTGAAGTACAGGACTTCACCAGAAACACTAATTAGAATAAGGCGAGTGGATAAAAAAGCTACAGCATACTTGAATATTTGGATGTAAAATCGTAACCAACTTTTCATAATAAAAGGTAAGCAGAAAAGTTACCATTACAGAACCAGGTGGTTGGGACTGAATAGCAAGATATGTAGGGCCACCTCCACGACCAATACTACCCCCACGTCCGTGAAACAAGGTAACTTTAATGCCATACTCATTGCACGCAGTCACGACATCCTCTTGGGCTTTGTAGAGTTCCCATGCAGCAGTAAAGCGCCCAGCATCTTTACCAGAATCAGAGTATCCCACCATTACCTGTCACAATGTAGTACGCTTCACATGGCTGATGGGGAGACCATAAAATTTGCCACAAAAAAAAATGTTATGCCAAGGATTACCTCCTGATGGCCATTATGGTTCTTAATAATGTGCTCTCTGTACCAATCAATTGATAACAACTTCCTGATCACTGAACCAGCTTGTCTCAAGTCCCTCGCAGTTTCAAATAGAGGAACCACTCGCAGCCTATAAAGATGCATCTCTAGTTATAGAACATTCATTGTAACTGTAAGTGTGACTCTTCAAGCTGTGTCAGAACATGCAAAAGATATTCTAAATCTTGTACCAACTAGTTATTAAATAAAAAGGTAAGTCAACTTTATCTTCTTGCAAAACATAACTTGTACCAGAAAATCTTATTACTAAAGTGAGGGAGAGTACGTATCCTTTCATCCCTCCCCTCAGTATTCGATGTCATCCTTTTAAGTTAGTCCATTATGATGACTATTATGATTCTTATTTGATGCTTAATTGGCCGCTGAAAGGATATGTAGACATAATTCAACAAATTTTTGGAGCGCTACCAGTATAGGGGTTAGAGGCTTACGTTCCACCAGGACATGGTCTTCCAAGCTCGCCACTAACAGCTAGTCGTGCATCTTTCTGTAAGAGCTCAACTGCAAGGACATCACTAGCCTGAAAGTACCAATCAAGATCTTGTTAATTTAATTATACAGAAGCTCTTTATTTTTATAGCTTCAATATGAGACTAAGAGTTAATATTAGCAACACTTCATTATACATTTGATGCCATAGAAATCACATAGGCTCCAAGCGAATCGCTCCCTAGCTCAGCAGCAACACGGAAGGTGTCCAGAACTTCTTTTACATCGGAAGGAACCTGGAGGAAAAAGCAAAAACAATTAACAGTAGTGGAAAGAAAAACTGTTTTGCTTTAAATGGTTCGTGTTACTCACATTTCAGGACATATTTCAAATTCGTAAAATAAAGTTAAAGATAGAAGCCCCTGCAGGGTCAATAGCAGATTACTCAGAGTCTCCTGAGAGCATTAGATGATACAAAAAAGTAAATTGATGTACTGCGGGTTCCGTGTGGTTCTGTTAACTTTATCTTAAGGAAACTAATATCAAGTATCGACTTGCATTGGAAAAGAATAGCAGTTTGAACCAGGATTTGACCAAAAGCACAAATTCTCTCTCAAAATAAAAGGGTTTAGTAATTGATATTTTCATCTCACACAGTTTAAAAGATTGGAGCATCATAACCATAGTCCACGTGTCACTATCTAGACACCTTACCTCTATTCTTAGCGGAACAAGTGGCCTTTTCCCTTTCAACTCTCTTGTCAAAAAATCCAGTTTTTTCTCTTCATCCCACTCGCTGTATGTACCCATGTCCAAATAAAGGGTAATTGCATCTAGTGTGTCAGCATGTCTACCTGATTCCTGCCACAAGTACAACGACAGTAGTTTATTATTTTTATTTTTTAATAGGAAACAAAACACGGACGCATTAATTCACTACTGCAAAAATAATAAAACAAACTATTCAGCAGACGAGTAAAACAAACCTGACGCAAGTCCAGCTTCATTAATACCATTCCGAAGGTAGCAACTCTTCGTATCAGGTCAGCAAGCCGACCATCAGCTAGCACCCCAGATCCACATGATTGCTGTCATTATTATGATAACAAATATTACAACCGTTTCTTCCCATGAAAGAGAGAGAGAGAGAGAGAGAGATGGTAGAGAGATTACCAGAGACTCGTAGCATAGCAGTAGGGGTTCCAATAGCTGATCATATGTTTCATAATGATCCCAAGGATCAAAGTCACAAGGAAGATCCTCAAGAAGAAGTTCCAGCCCCCTCCGTGTCTTCATAAGCTGAACACAGAGGCATAAAAGATGCATTTATCATCTAATTGTGGGAAAAGAGGTCAAAATATGATATTGTATTTTGTAGGACGAACCATATAAATTTGGACAAGTTGGATTTGGAGATTGTGATACAGGAAAATCATGTCTAGTTCCTCGCTTGTTTAGCTAACCAAAAATAAAATACATACATGCATTATCATTGACTTGAAGAATATAGGTGTTACAAAATCCTGTTGAGAAAGTATACATGGTTGTTGTTTTCATTACCTTCAAACAAGAAATTCCTTATTAAACAACTCTCGTGTAATTTGAGTTTGCCGTTGTTTCAAAAGCAACTTCCAGGGGAAAAAAGAAATAGAAAAGACAAGAAAAAAGCCTTCACAATAATATCTAATACAAGCTTCACCATACTGCAAAGTACAAGATCATTGCGACGTTTTTTTTTTTTTTCCCCGTTTGAAAACCCAGAAGTTCTCCAAACCCGCATAATGACCTCAAGTTCGGAAATGGGTCCCTTGACAAACCCAACAAAGTAAATGAACGCCATACTATTTGGAAGCAAAGTCTAGGACTGAACACGTAACTAACCCTTTAGGTGTTTTTGTGGAAAAAACTGTATATAGCTGGAATACAGGCTGGAAAGCCGTGTACAGCTAGGTGATTTTAGGCAATCAGTTTGATGGATTATTTCCTTAAAATTAGACATAGTTTCCTAATTTGTTAGTTTCCTAATTTGATAGGATACAGACTTAATGGTAGGGTTACTAGAGTGAATGTATATATGTATGCAGTGTATACCGTGATGAATATCAATGAAAATAAGAAGTTTTCATTTCAGCTTCTCTTTGTCAATTCACCACATGGTATCAGAGCCTTAGGCTCGAATTTCTGGGATTGAAATCTGTGCTTGGCCTTCATTGCTGGAGTTTTTCTTTTCTGATCAGCACCCTTTTTTTCTTGGTCTTTATTGCCGGTTCTTGCTTTGTTTGTTCATCAGTCTCTGTCCAGCAATTCCTACCGTGTCTGTGAGTCCATCATCTTGCTGTCCGTCCTATCCATTCTCTTGCTGCCATCTATTCTATCGCTGGAGTCCAACATGTCAGAAACAGGGAAGACTAAGGCTGTCCAGACAGAGGAGATAATCAGGCCTCAGCAACCTGGAGAATTGCAGAACATCCAGGCAGCGTATAGACTAGATGGATCAAATTACCTTAAGTGGTCACAACTCATCCGTACGGTGTTGAAGGGAAGAGGAAAGATTAGCCATCTTTTGGGAACGGGTCCTAAACCAGATGATCCGAAGTTTGAAGCGTGGGATGAAGAAGACTCTATGATCATGGCGTGGTTGTGAAGTTCCATGATTCCTGAAATCAGTGACACCTGCATGTTTTTGGCTACTGCCAAGGACATATGGGATGCTATTCAACAGACTTACTCCAAAGCTAGGGACGCAGCCCAAGTATACGAAGTTAAGGTGAAAACTATAGCGGCAAAACAAGGTAATAAGACTGTCACTGAATATGCAAACCAATTGAAAACCTTATGGATGGAGTTGGATCATTATCGAGTTATTAAAACTAAATGCCCCGAGGATGCAGCTATCTTAAAAGAATTTATTGAACAAGACAGGGTCTATGATTTTCTGGTTGGACTCAACCCAGAATTTGATCTAGTAAGAATACAGATTCTTGGGAAGCCAGAGGTTCCAGGTTTTAATGAAGTAGTGGCTCTAATTAGAAGTGAAGAGAGCAGAAGGGGGCTGATGCTTGAACCAGAAACCAATAATAGTTCGGCTATGGTGGCTGCTGGTAATAACAAACATGTCACAAACATGGAGAGAGGTATAGCACCAGAAGGAGAAAAAAACAGCCAGCCAAAGTTCCAAAATCGTGATAGTCTTTGGTGCACTTATTGCAAGAAGTCTCGTCATACCCGTGATACATGTTGGAAGCTTCATGGAAAGCCACCAAGCCGTGAATGGGGACAGAAAGGGAATCAGCCACAAAGCAAAGGACAAGCCCATATTGCTGTGACTCCTCAAGCAGAATCAACATCAAAGGAATTGAGCAGTCTCAACCAAGAGGAGATTGAGAAATTTAGAGCACTCATCAGCAATCTTGGTAAGACTGAAGAAACTCCCGGTACTTGTTCCTTGGCATATTCAGGTGAGTTTCCTTTCTCCATTAGTTTAAATGTTTCGGACACAACCCTTGCCAACTCCTGGGTCATGGATTTAGGAGCAACCGACCATATGACACACTCACACAATGTGTTTTCAACCTACTCCATGTCCAAGCAATAGGAAAGTAACCACAGCCAATGGATCCTCAATCACTGTAGCCGGTTTAGGGAATGTCAAAATAAGCCCATTTGTGACTTTGAGAAATGTTATTCATGTTCCTAAACTATCCACAAACCTGATCTCTATACAAAAACTCACTCAAGATTTGTGTTGTAATGTGATTTTTCATAATAATTATTGTGTATTTCAGGACAAGGGTTCGGGGAGGACGATTGGACTTGCTAGGGAAAGGAACAGCCTCTACCATCTTGAAACACCAAGTCAGTTGAACATGATCCAGGGTAGTCAACCTTCTTCCTTCATAGCAAAGTGTGTCTTATCTAATAAAGAAAAAAATTTTCTCCATCATTGTCGACTTGGACATCCATCATTATAGTTATTAAAATCATGTTTCCTTCCTTGTTTAAAGGTTAAGATGTTGAAAGATTTCAGTGTGAAGTGTGTGAACTTGCTAAACACAAGCGTGTACCTTTTCAGATTAGTAATAAAAGAAGCTCCTTACCTTTTTATCTTGTTCACAGTGATATTTGGGGTCCATCCACTGTTTCTAATGTTTCTGGGGTAAGATGGTTTGTTTCTTTTATTGATGACTGTACTCGTGTTACATGGATTTTCCTACTTAAACAAAAATCTGATGTTAGTACTGTATTCCCAAATTTCCATTCCATGGTCAAAAATCAATTTGGGGTCTCAATCAAAAGATTTAGGTCGGATAATGCTAGAGACTATTTCAATCAAACTCTGACTCCATTCTTTCAGAAAGAGGGAATAATACACGAATCGTCATGTGTCAGCACTCCACAACAAAATGGAGTAGCAGAAAGGAAAAATGGTGATCTTCTTGAAAAAACCCGGGCCTTATTGTTTCAAAAAAATGTGCCTAAGATTTTTTGGGGGGAAGCAGTCCTTACAGCCAGTCATCTGATAAATCGTTTGCCTTCGAGAACTTTAGATTCTAAAAGGCCCATGGACATACTCTCATCATTTTACCCAAACCTGAATACCTCAAATAACCTTGTTCCTAGAATTTTTGGGCGTTTCCTTTGTCCATGTTCATAGTCAAAACAGGGGGAAATTAGATCCAAAGGCTCTAAAGTGTGTCTTTGTAGGATATTCTTCAACTCAGAAAGGGTATAAGTGCTATCATCCTCCGTCAAAGAAATTCTACGTCTCGATGGATGTCACATTCACTGAACAAGAGTCCTATTTCTCTAATCCTTATCCTCAGGGGGAGAGTTCATTGAAAGAGGATAAGGAAGGTTTTTTGCTTGATTTGTCCTCAATTCCCAAGTCAGATAATCCTATACCTGCTACACCCAGTCCATCTTGTTCTAACCATGATCCTGAATCCATACCCACTGAGTCCATACCCAGACTTGAACTCGTACCTGTAACACCAAATGAACCACAAGAAAAAACCAATTCTGCCCTGGAAAATGTAAGATTTGGCAAAGGCAATGTGTTCACAAGAAGGAGGAAGGCTGTTCCAGAACCTGTGCAAATCCAAGAATCCAACTCAAACCCTTTGAATGAGGTAACAATTTCTGACCATCCTTTACAAGATAATTTTGAATTAGTAGATAATGATGATCAGAATCTTCCGATTGCCATTAGGAAAGGAACTAGAGAATGTACAAATCGACCTTTATATCCTCTTGCACATTTCTTATCCTTTAACAGTTTCTCACCATCTCATAGAGCCTTCCTTGTAAGCCTAAATGCCATCACCATTCCAACCACCTTGTCCGAGGCTTTAGCTAATAAAAAATGGAAACAAGCTATGAATGTGGAAATGGAGGCGTTGGAGAAGAACAAAACTTGGAAGTTGGTGAAGTTACCAGAAGGAAAGAGACCAGTGGGTTGTAAATGGGTGTATACTGTGAAGTATAGAGCAGATGGGTCGATTGAGAGATACAAGGCGCAGTTAGTAGCAAAGGGGTATACTCAGACCTATGGGATCGATTATCTAGAGACATTTGCCCCTGTGGCAAAGATGAATACAGTACGAGTATTGTTGTCACTGGCGGCGAATTATGGTTGGGAATTGCAGCAGTTTGATGTCAAAAATGCTTTCCTACATGGGGAATTAGAGGAGGAGATTTATATGGAGGTTCCACCAGGATATGGGAAGAATTTGACTACTCACACTGTGTGTAGATTGAAGAAGGCACTATATGGCCTTAAGCAGTCACCACGAGCATGGTTTGGGAGATTTGCAAGAGTTATGCTGACTTTGGGATACAGGCAAAGCCAAGGGGATCATACATTGTTCATTAAGCATTCAACTTCAGGGGGAGTTACAGCTCTTTTAGTGTATGTTGATGACATAATATTGACACGAGATGATTCTAAGGAGAAGCATGTCTTAAGTCAGCATTTGGCTAAGGAATTTGAGATTAAAGCATTAGGAAGGTTGAAGTATTTTCTTGGTATTGAGGTTGCTCACTCGAAGTAGGGAATCTTCATTTCTCAACAGAAGTACGTCACAGATCTTCTCAAGGAAACTGGCAAGACAGCATGCAAACCAGCGATCACACCTATGGACCCAAATTTAAAACTTGGGAAAGCAGAGGAAGATGCCGCAGTAAATAGGGAAATGTATCAACATTTGGTGGGAAGACTCATTTACTTGTCTCACACACGACCAGATATCGCATATGCAATGAGTGTAATTAGCCAGTTTATGCATAGTCCAAAGGAAGTCCATCTACAAGCAACCTATCGAGTCCTACAGTACTTGAAGGGAACGCCGGGAAAAGGTATCTTGTTCAAAAGAAATGGAGGGTTAGTTCTTGAAGCATACACTGATGCCGATTACGCTGGGTCAATTGTTGACAGAAGATCGACATCAAGATAATGCACCTTTCTTGGGGGGAATCTTGTAACTTGGAAAAGTAAAAAACAAAGCGTGGTAGCTCGATCAAGTGCAGAGGCTGAATTCAGAGCCATGGCTCAAGGAGTGTGTGAACTACTTTGGTTGAAGATTATTCTTGAAGATTTGAAGGTCAAGTGGGACGGCCCTATGAGACTTTACTGTGACAACAAATCTGCGATCACCATAGCTCACAACCCAGTACAACATGACCGGACCAAACACATTGAAATCGACAGACACTTTATTAAGGAGAAGTTAGAAAGTGGGCTGATTTGTATGCCTTATGTGTCTACACATGGACAACTTGCTGATGTCCTTACCAAAGGGCTGAATAGCTCAGTTTTTCAGACTATTGTATCCAAGCTGGGAATGGAAAATGCCTATTCACCAGCTTGAGGGGGAGTGTGGAAAAAATTGTATATAGATGGAATACAGGCTGGAAAGCCGTGTACAACTAGGTGATTTTAGGCAATTAGTTTGATGGATTATTTCCTTAGAATTAGAGATAGTTTCCTAATTTGTTAGTTTCCTAATTTGATAGGATACAGACTTAATGGTAGGGTTACTGGAGTGAATGTATATATGTATGCAGTGTATACCGTGATGAATATGAATGAAAATAAGAAGTTTTCATTTCAGCTTCTCTTTGTCAATTCACCACAGTTTTCATTATTGAGATATCACGTAAATGACAAAGCAGTACCTTTTCTTTGACATGGCCAAGAACAATTCTATAAGGAGCAATGCCAGGCCACTGAGGAGGCGTGGGCTCTAAAAGCTTCTGGAAACTGGGCCTTCCTATCTGAGATTCAGCGACTAGTTTCCTTTGAACAAGCACTTGACCAGAATTGAATGAAGCAGCCCTTGATAGCACAGTAGACTGAGAATTAATAGGAGCAGCAGAAGATCCATTGGATAATATCCTTGAGTTGAGATTTGAATCGTGGTACAAGGAACCCGACCTTGAAGAAGGTTGACCACCCTAATAAACGAGACAAAAATAAATATACTAAATTGGCAGTTACTATGGTAAGTACAGTTGTTTTACCTGACGATTCAATGGCCTGTAGTCAGTCCCAGGAACTTCTAGTCTGGGATATTGAGAACCACTGTCATTGCATTCTACATGGAAGAGGTCATTATAAATAAATTATCAAAATCATGAAGATGATTCTTAGAATGCATTGCAAATAACAAGTTGCGCAACTTTGAATTCAACTCAAATAATCATATATATCCAGAGAATCATTTTGTTAGACCATGGGAAGAAGCATTGTGTTCCATACTTACACGGGATCTGCAGCACCTAGAAGACAATAAAAAAAAAATCTTGGAAAATATATTCCAAGAAACAAAATCTTGGAATATACATTAGCATGCATTATTAACAAGATGGCTATGGTTTGTGTGGAGATCACATGTTTACCAGTACAGGATGGTTGATCAGCTCTAGCAGGAAGTTGCGTTGGAAGGGCTGAAGCCTGTAGCTTCAATAGGTTTTTACTCATAGACTGATTCCAATTCTCATGCCGATGGTCAGATGGAGTTTCTACAGAATTTGCAATCAATCAGATGCAATCATGAGTGCACGTAACACTCAAACTATAAATATGCATCTTCGAGAAATCCAAGAGACATGACCAATATGTACTCTAATTTTGTAAGTCATGTAAGAAAAATTCGATTCTATTTGTTATATGTAAGCAGAAGCAAATATAATTCCCATAGAAAAATATGTTCAATCAAATGTAATCACAAGCGTACATAACATTCAAAATATGAATATGCATCTTCAAGAAATCCAAGAGAGATGACCAGTAAGTACATTATTTTTATTAGATGATGTAAGGACAAGCTTTCTATTGTATTTTGGTTATGTTGATGTTTGAATGGATCTCCGAACAAACATAGAGAGATGAGCAGTACATACTTTATTTTTGTAGATGATGCAAGGACAAGCTTTCTATTTTATCATGTTGATGTTTTAAAAGGCTATGTATTTGTCCATTTGAATGCATATTCGGAAAAATAAATGCAAATTTATCAGCACACATCAGAATGGTTCTCATTGTAGTTTGGACAGATAGACAGGCAATAATAAATTTCAGGTTTCCCACACCAAGCTACAAAACCAAGATAAACTGGAAGCTAATAACATAAAAATTTCCTATTAGGACATGAGATAAGAGGAACCCGATTATAATACAATTCTATTAGAGCTTCTGAATAAATTGGAAGAAAACCTTCTAGAATTTCATGTGCCAGTCTTGATAATGTATCACTGCATTGACTCATGGATAGTTCAAATCTGAGGCTATCTACTTCCCGGATGTAGAGATCAATAGCCATCCATCTAGACAACAGAGAGACATCTCTTGTAACCTGAAATAAGCAAAAGAAAGAGACGCAAAAGTCTCATTATGAGTAAACTACAAAATAACAGCCCAAGACTGAGGGAATTTCCTACAGTGTAACAGGATCAGTAGAAACTAGACTGTTGTTGGAAAGGTTAATAAAACCATACAGAATAAAGTTCCTACCTTTGATGTTACATTGGGATTCCCATCTCTGTCTCCTCCCATCCAAGATCCAAACTTTATTGGTGTGCAAGTCAATGGAAGAGGCTTTCCAGTGTGCTGGTAAATTAATAAGACAAAATCCAATAATGTGAAAAACAAAATAAAAGGAATACCAAGGAGAATCTTTAAATGTGTGTATCAATGTATCGCAAACATCAGATTCCTGAAAATGAAGAATCTCCTAGCAAAAGAAGAAGAATTCAAAAAAAGACACCTTCTTTAAAGCATTGCTGACACGCCGCAAATAATGAGGCACTGCCTTCCAAAGAGACTGTTCCACAATGTTCAGACCTGAGAAAATAAATAGAGATTTCAGTTAGTATGAAATCACATACTGAGAGCCAAAGATGGTCTATTCCAATAATTTAAAACAGGGATCAAGGTTTTAACCTGCCCTAGCTTCATCAACTGCTGTAGGTTTGTGTCGCCTAAGTTCATCTGTTTGCCATATTGAAGTTATCTCTCTCACCTAAAAATGAAATAAGGAAACAGAGATGACAGAATATTAAGAATTCCCACATTAACAAAGACACAAACTTCCCATCCAATACCCCATGAAAAGACATTTTTGAAGGAGAAAATGAGCTCGGAGAAAGAGTACCAGGTCTTCAATCAGCATTTCTCGATCTTCATGACTTAGATCAGGCCGGTCATTATAATCTAAAAGATGCTGCAAAAGACGTAGTCTGTTTATGACAAGAGATGCAGTTACAACATATTTAAGACACAACCAATCACAACTTACAGCAATTCTAATGTGTTTGTATTGTAAGGTCCGTCGATTGATTTGTGTGGGATGTGCAGTAAGCACAATCTCAACCTCCTGCAGCAACAAGAACTTGAGACTTAAGAATAGGAAGCCTGAACAACTCATCAGCACCAACCCAAATATATATGATATTCTATGAGTAGCTGAAGAAGCAAAGGAAACATACAAATGCATAACCTCAATTTGATATAATAAGTTCAAGAATCTCTTTCTTTCCTGGTATAATATGCAAAGAACCATATACAAAACTGGAATCTGGAAACATATAATGATCTGCACACCTGTTTGCAAACAGCGTTATAAAGCTCCTCTGGGGGAAGCCCGCCCTGCAAAAGCTTATTGAAGACATCATCACATGATCTTGAAGGAAGTTCTAAATTCCTTTGCTTATGAACCCTGTACAAAGTAAACCAGAAATCCATTGAGGTTTTCTTTTTCAATTTTTATTTTCCTACTAAGAAACGAAGAAGTGTCGTTGAGATTCAAAACCAAAAAAATATGTCAAAAACTGTTTCCACGGAGACAAATCAAGGAAATTCAATGCTCAGTTTCAGACTGTTAGGAACCTAGTCAAAGACAACATCCTGTTTTAGGATCTCAGAAGCGTCATACTTGCTCAATTAGAACTTCGTGAGAAGTATGCTAATTTAAACTATCCAGTAAATTCTACAAGCTAAAATCCTTGTTCTGTAAAAGCAACTGAATTTTTTCATGCTTAGGAGGACATTCTTATACCTAATACTAGGAGAGGGAGGGATAGACCAAGAATCGAAGTAGTTAGGAATGATATTCTAGATCTAAGCCTTTAGGAAAGTCTAATTTCGAACAGAGCTGTGTAGAAAAGTGAAATTCATATAGCGGACTCCAATTAAGATGGGATTAAGGCTTGTTGTTGTTGTTGTATTTCTGAAAACACAACTTTGAGAACCGAAAAACAGAGAGCATGGCCAAACAGTCCACCCTGTTGATTCCCATTAGAGTAATAGAAAGGGGGATAAAAAAATAAGAGCAAATAGCAACATACTATAATATTAGTACCTGTGATGAGTTTCGGCAATGCCCATTAAATTGAGGTAGTGGCTGAACGCGCGAGCTTGGGTCAAAGCCTCTTCTAAGGACATCTTGGATATCTCTGAAGAGAGCTGCTTCTCGATCAGCTCTGCCATGTTTTCTATCCCCGCCATCCTCATGTTACTAGCACTCTGAACACAAAGACCCCATTCATTACTCATTTTCTCACAGCTAAACACGTTTGGCTGCCGCGAAATTCAAGAAATGTGAAGAAAATATCACAGATGGAGTTTTAACCATTTGCTACCTTACAAATCCCCCAACCAAACACAAAAACAAAAACTGTAATAATAAATATAAATTCAAATCTACCATTGCTCAACCTCATGCAAAAAGCTCAATCATGTATTCATTGATCAACCCAAACATCGCAGATCAAAGATCGTCTCCGTTTACATAAATTCACTCCTCTGTTTTCTCATCCAAAACTACGATCCCTAAAAACTCATAGAAATCCATGAAAATACAAACACATGCAAAACGCAGCTACAACGATCGCCATCGGGCATCGGAGTAAGTACTGTAAGCAGGCGAGAGAGAGCAATGGAAGAATGAATTTCTTCAACGAGAGAAAATCAGTGTAAAGAGAAAAACCTGAGCGAGAATTCGAGTGCGCTCGAGCTTCTCGGTGAACTCGGGGCCGACTTCTCGCTGCAAGACCTCCTGGAGGAGGTTGCCGAGGAGCTTGCAGTCGTCATCGAAGCTCTGGAACGAGATTTCCTCGGCGATGTCGTCCGTCGTGTCCGTCATTGTTGCGGGAACAGGGAGAGAGGAGAGAGAAAGTGCGTCTGGGTTTAGAGAGAGAAAGTGAAGGAGGAGAGAGAGAGAGAGAGAGAGGATGGTGGAGGAGGGAGAAAGGAAGATGAAATGGAGATGGTGTCGTTGTGTAGATGTATTTGTGTGTACGGATATTTTTTGGGGGAATTGTGGGGCCTACGTCTTTTTAGTGTATGAAACTGCCAAGGATTGTCTGCCACGTGGTAATAAGGCCGAAAATACAGGACAGTTATTTTGGGTCCATTTGGGACTGGACTGAAAGCCGTGCCTCTCTGTTGAGACTCTGACCAGGTGATTCCCCATTTTTTAATTCTACAGAAAATAACGCAAGAAAATCATTTCATGAAACAAATAACTCTTACTAGGCAATGGGAAAATTATTGGGAATTTTCAAAAGAACAAATTATTTTGAAATACTGCTTTTCATTTTTTTTAAATGTAGAAATAAGACTTTTCAAGAAAAAAAAAGAACTTTTTACATCTCACATTATCTATAATCTATAAGTTAATCTATGTTCAAGTTTTCTTTAAAAAAAATTATATCTATGTTTTTAGAATAAAAAGTCCATGTTAAAAGTAGTAAGCCTGGTTTTTTATTTTGAGAATTTATAGTATAGTATGAAAAAATATTAGCAAGTGATATAATTTCAAGTAAAACTACGTTATTTAGTAACACTTAATAAAGATCCGTTAGTTCATAATTATGTCCTACTAATATTATTTAATACTATTTTAAAATTTTCTTTTCTTTTTTAGGCTACAAATTTCGCTAGAAAATATAAAAAATGAAAAGAAAAGAAAACATAATATGTGGGAAAATTTTATGCAACATTTTTAAGAAAAAATGAAAGATGTTTCATTAATCATTTAATATTTTATACTAAATAATCATACCATGTCCCTTCAATATGCATTCTAACATAATTATATTAAAAATCTCATGTTCATCATGACTATAAACTTTTTCAATACTTTCCATGTCAACATAGGGATCTTCTTTTCTTTAGAACTTTGTATTTAATTTAATTATAAACAAAAGTTGGAATGTGCAATATTCTGAAGTATTATCCCCGCCAGATTCTTCTGACATCAAATCAGATCCGAAAAGCATATTCCTTATGTTACTGTTTACTATTTGGTGAGTGTATTATTCTTAATTAGAGAATCTAATCATGTTCAACAGTGGATTAAAAAAAATCTGTGGACGATGATTTGGTTTAGCACCGTTCACGTCAGGCTGGTCCCCGTGTGTTCAATATTAATTTAATGTCGATATCCAAACAAACTTTAGCAAATAAGATGCGTACACGTGTACAAAATGGTTATTGCATACGTAAACCTACAAGGTTACTACTACTAGTCTAATTGTTTATCATTAACGTAGAAATCTTAGAAAATGCTAAAAAGTAATGCATGGCTAATGTTTAGAACACTCAAAGGGTGAGAAGCATTTTGTGGTCCAAAAAATGTGTCATGTGACGATTGATTGGCCAAAAAGACAAGGACAAAAACTAATGCTCGTGGCTAGTGACTATGTGAACAAAAAAGAAAAAGGAAAAAAAAACAAAGATATCATGTCATGTTTAGTGTTGCTTAAGATATAGGGAATTTTACATTGGATGATTCGGATAAATATGAAAAAATATTCTATCAACATAATACAATTTGAATCATTAGATTTTTATCGAGTTTGATAAAATTTTCATATTTTTTTTATTTTAATATAATTTCTAGATGATATTATATTTTAAAAATTGTGTTCTACCAATAGATTTTCATATTCACTATCATGAAATTCTTCTACATGTCTTAAATTTACCATCGGGTTGTCTTTATAGGCTATGAAAAGTATATAATATTAGTGCTCGTGATCTTACCACTATATGAAGAGATTGAGCATTAATATCTGCCGTACGTAATAAGTCCCTATCAGCCATTTTTTCCTTGGTCATGCATGAGTTGATACATACACGACATGCTCGGAATAACTATGAATTGGAGTGAGTAAGATTTGAAGTGGATAGAATTCGGAGTGAAGAATCAGAATCAGAATAAATTATTTATTTGGTGACAAGATTCGAAATCGAAATCACTACAAAGCGCATTCATGCGTTTACTTACACTCAGAATAACTGGTGTAAAAATATTAATATATCTTTTAAGTAAATTTTGTATTTTCAATTTAAAAAAATAAGCTATGTACTTATTATATTAAAGTTAATCATAATTAAAATATTTATTATAATCATAGGGTGATGAAATAATAAATATAAGTTGCATACTTATTTAAATTATGAAAATAAATTGTTAAAATTTGAATAAAATAAAAAGTAAAATGTGCACAATTTATTAAATATAATAAACATAATAAAGTAATTATAGTAATGTTTACAAAATTAGGCTAATACTTTAATGTTAGGCAAATAAAACAATAACAAGGCTTAATGTTATCGTAAGGTTATTGTAATGTTGTAGAGTTAATAGACCTACGTTTGTAATAATTATTTGTCATATTGTTATTATCCTTTTACAAACTTTAATTCTTTTCCATTGTGTTAATAAAATTGTGTTAACAATTCTATTATTTTCGTAAGTGATACATTTATTGAGACCAACGTGTAATGTTGCAATTCTTGTTCTCTCACAATGTTACCATTTGTACGGTATTAATTCGTTACGAAATAATTTTATTGATTTGTGTACTTCAATTGTTTTCCACATTATTTTAACTAAATCTCGTAATAACCTACTACTCTTCGTAATGAACCCAGTTTTCCATCCTTTCATGTTTAGATTATTGTAATCTCGTAGAGTTGCTAGACTTACGTTTGAAATATTTGTTTGTCGTATTGTTTTATTCATACACGTTATTGTTTCGTTATTATTTAAACAAGTCCATTCGATTTTATTTAACTTAATCCAATAGTTAACCGGGTGAGGCAACGTTACCGAAAAGTAAAGTGAGGTAAGTGAGAACATCCAATGTATATATCTATACCTATATATAAATTTGAAAAAAATACTAGTCAATGAAAACTACTTTTCAAGCAAAATGAGTGTTTTGGTTGAAATGCTCGTTTTGCTTCTTTTTTTTCTGCTTTTGCTTTTGATGTTTTTATTTTTTTATTTTTTTTATTTTTGGCCTTTTGATGGTTTTCTTTTCTTTCCGTCTTCTCTTTTTCCTTTTATTTTTTTCTCTAGAATTTTATATTTTTCGTTCTTGCCATTTTTTTTAACTTTTTTCTTTCATTTACTCACATTATTTTATTTTCACAAACGTTATCCTACTTAAATATTTCTTTCTGATAGTGTGTTGCGTGATTTTTATGCTTGTAAATGCATGTGTCGCAGACAAGTAATAAAGTGTACAGAGTACGAATATCGTCCCACAAAAAATGAATCACCAAGTATAGATGCAGAAATCAACTAGTTTACTCGTTAAGAATGATAAAAAGTTGACTAGATCAACATTCTTCAAGCAACCATCATCCTTACAACCTCGGGTCCATTAGCAGATCTAGCTTAATGAATTAGTTCATAATGATAATTACAGAAACTAAATTTCTAGAGTAATCCATGTCTTAATTAATAACAAACATAACAAAGAGTTAAGCTAAAGGAAGGAAGAAGAATCGAGGAGCTGGATTTTAGATCTTCTAGAGTTTCTCCTTGTCCTTCTCTTTGGATCTTCCTTGATGTTGCTCTCTCTCTTGAATTTTTCTTCTTTCTCTCACGTCTGGTCTTCCTTTTCTCTTTTTGGGTCATGTACTGCGCTATCCTTCTTTTCTTCTATTTTTCCTTTTGTTCTCGGCTGCTACTCTCCTTTACAGAAAGCATTTCCTTCTTAGGGCAACAAAAAGGGCTGAGGTGTCAATTGATAAGGGCTGAAGTGGTCCACACTACTATACAGCTCAATCAGCTCACATGGATCTTTTGTCCTTTTCCTCCAAGTAGTGCGCTAATGTCATACCACTTGCCAGCTACACCCATAATGTTATAGCACTCTCCCTGCAATTTGTAAAATCACAACTTAGGCATATTTCAACCTCTTTTTGACTCAAATCACTCATTCTTAACCCAGGAGCAGCACAAGTACAGGATTTAACAAGGTAAAATGTAAAATCAGAAAATCTAAGTTAAAACACAGAGAAAACAATGAAATACACTCTTGGCTAAGCAAACTTTAAGCTAAAAATGCATAAGATAACTCTAATTTCTAAGAGTTATCATGGTGCCCTAAAACTTAAAATGTAGTTAAGTATAGAAATTCTAATTGAGTGTACCAATTGTCATATATAGAATGATCTCAATCATGATTTATTAGGAGACTCCTATTTATGGATTTATGTCTTTTGATTTACTCAGTACAGATTCTGAGATCTTGAATTCTATTCCTTGTATTTTGGAGACATGATGAAGTGAGTAGCCGGGAATATTATTATAAGAGATGGAATCCATTCCATCTTAAGAAAGAAGTAGATAAATAATTCTCTTGAGGGTTGATTCGGTATTTGGATTAGTAAGAGCTCCGATTCATGAATTTGTTTTATGAATTACTGTCCATTAGAGAATCAATGGTACTCAAGGATAAAGATGTAATTAGAAAGGTTAACGGATTTCATCTAGCTCTAATTATGAGTTATTTATGGAAGATTGATCTATATATAATGACTATATCAAATAAACACTTCACAATTTAGAAGTAATTTACATCTATAATTACGAGAGTGCGATTCCATGTTTATAATGGAGTAACTTTTGAAATTAATAGAATTAATTAATTAATTAAGAGTTTAATTAATTATTAATTTTATTGGAGCTCAGAATTATAGGTCTATGTGTCCCTGCATCATCCTTGTAATCATACAAGACACTGAGGGTAAAATGAGAATTTTAGAATTATGGAATTCTAAACTAAAACGCTCAAGAATAATTAATTGAGAATTAATTATAAATTAAATAATGTGATTATTTAAATTTAAATTTGAATTTTAAAAAAAATGTGAAGGTGTTCACATAGTGTGAAAGCCTAGCACAGTGTGAATCTCTATG